CGTACGTTTCGGATATAGCACGTCCCCTTTCTTTTTGACTATATGAAATCCACACTTTGACACCTGAGATTCCGTAACGAGTAGATACTTCCGCAGGAGCATAATCTATTTTCTGGTTAAATACATTACTAGATGTTTTTCCATACCTTCCGCATTCAGTTCTAGCTATTTCTGCACCTTCTGATCGACCTGAACAACATATACGGATCCCCTCCACCCCTTTTTTCATTACTAATCGAATATCCTTCACTATTTGACTAAAAATGGAGCGAAATGATATTGTTTTGTTCCTCGGTTGAAAAGAGATATCTTGAGCAATCGGAGAAGCACTTTGATAAACAGATTTGATCTTGACCGACTCAATTAAGGTATTAGTCTTTGTTCTATTAGACAACAAAGATCACATTTTTTTCACTTCGTTCAAATAAAAGTTGTACCCGTACGGAATTCTTCTGTTTCTCAGTATGATCTCTATCATCATCTCTATTCCCTTTATCAATTCTCCTATCCCACCTAGGTCTATGAATTTCTCTATCAATTCCATTACCTTATCCTTAGCCGTGAGGTTCCAACATTTTTTCCTGAATTTTCGTAGGAGTTGTTCCCGGGCATACTAAAAAAAAGGTTCTTATACACCCCAACCCCGTCCCTTGGAAAGAAAAAGGTAGCACCGAAGAATGGAAAGAGCGAGATGGTGGTTTTTGTTGTTCCCGCGAAGCGAGGATGATCCGACCAGCGAATGAAGTGGGTCAACTTTTTGTCTTCGGCCAAAAACTTTTTCTCGCTGGTCGAGCTTTCGACAAAAAAAAGCGAAACGTATTCTCTTATCTAAGCTTCTTCCCTGTGCATTAGCTCCCCCCATGGTAGATGGTTCAACCACGCCCGCTTCCACGAAATGATTGAGAACTACGACGGGGTCGAAATGCATTTGGTTCTTTGTCTTCAATAAGTATTGCATGACCGAATAATTCAAGGAAGGGCGCACCGCAGGGAGGGTCCTTTTAAGTGGATGACTCGTCGGGCTGTCGGAGGGGGACTTCTTTGAGAAAAAGAACTTGAATAACTTCGTTTTTCTGAAGGAGTCGTCATTTAGGAGGGCTATGTTATTTACAAACCCGACGTATTTCGGATGCTTGAAGGCCCCGCATACCCAACCTGTGGTGGATCCCGGGTGACAAAGTAAAAGCCTTTGATCCTTTGCCCCATACTTTGAGATGCTCCTCCCCGCCGATCAAGCAGCGACGCTGCTCTTAGCTTTAAGCCGCTATCGTTCGGTTCGGATAAGTAAAGTCCCTTCGGTCAGTTTGCTCAGGTGATCCTCCCTTCTCTTCCCTAACGTTCAGAGTTGTTCTGGTTTGAGAAAGGAGCACCGGCCGAGCGCCCTGAATGAATAATAAATTTACAGCAGAGGTAATTGCAGATTCTTATTCAAACGAGTTGAAGCTAACAACATGTCGATTACACACCGGGGGTTGGAAAGAACTGAGGGGCAATGCCCCTCTAACCTAAGTGGGCCTACCTGCGAAGCAACTGGTACTTGAGCGGGCGGGGGGGGGGGCGGGGGGGGGGGGTTGGTTTCGTGCAAGGCCCTTGCAGCAGGAAGTAGCAGTTGTGATTTGAAAGAAAACGCTCTTAGTTTTTAAAAGGTTCCAAACCTTCGCACCCTGATGAAAAAGCCCTTTCTTTTCTATCTTATTAGTAAAGCCTAAACGTCCTTATTGAAGCCTAGCTAACGAGAAATCAAAGCGATAACGCACCTTTCCTAAGATTAGAATCGAAATAGAAGAGAAGGCCTTTCTTTCTCAAAGTAAACTTTCCCCTTCCCTTCTTGCTTTAGAAAGATTGCAGCTAGCGTGCTGGACTAATCTAATAGAAAGTCAAGGCTCTTCTCCTGTTCTACGAATCTACAACTCTCTTTACTAAGCGAGACTCCATCTATATCCCTACTAGTGGTTATTCTTTCCAGGCCATTTGTTTGACAGCTTAAACTAGACCCCACTTTCGATTAGATAGGTTTCGGTCTTAATCAAGATAAGTCAACGGCGCGTCGGAACGGTCGGTAGCTACTTAGTCTCATCTGAGAGTCTAATCTCCTTGTACTGCTTTTTTTCTTTTCAAAATAAAAAAGGTCGATTTAGGCTCCTTCCCTTCCCATAGCTGCGGTAGCAGGTACTACGAGCCCTCTGTCCCACACATTTAACCGGCGTGGTTCACCGGTTCCACCGAAAACTCTCATTTGTTGAAGCGGAGCATAGTGCGCTTTAGGCGCCGAGCGAGAAAGGTCTCTTCTTTCGTTTCGGTTTATTCACTGATCTGAAACTTAGCACTTGTTTTCTTATTCCAGGGGCGGCGGCGTTCTTGAATGAAGTCTATCCGAACCGAATTAGCACTTCTCAGATCAGGCAAGGCCTCTACAGCGGAGCTGGGCGCCAGGGCCCTGGCTGCACTAGCGATTGGCACATAGGGGAGTGGTTGCCCGGCTTCCTCGGCCTGGTATCCT